TTCAATAAGACTTTGTAAACCATTATCATTAGAAGATGCGTTAAGAGCATTAACAATACGTTTCATATCTTCAACTTTTGTTTGGGCATTGAGTAATCGTTTCTCTTCTTGTTCAAAAGAAGGAAAGTTGTTTTGTCGTGAAGGAGATTGGATTTCAGTGATTACTGAACTCCATTTATTCATTGTTGTTTCTGTTGCGTTCATAAGGGTAAGTGTCTCTTCTTTGGTTTGTTGAACTATTTGATTAATGACATTAACTTCACTATGTTTTGTTTTTAAAATTGTGTTTGTATAAGAACTTTTATGTGCAATTTGATTAACAACTTCTTTAGTTGCACCAACTTTCTGTTTTAATTGAATACAACCAATGAGAAATTCTTTAAGAAGTTGAGTATCAGGTTTAGACATAATGAATAATATTTCATAGATCCTCATCTCAATAAATAAAAAAGAAAAAGGGGTTTATTATTATGAATGTCAGTTATTTTTCTTCACAGTGAAGGGTGGTTGTTCTATTGTTTTTTTTTAAATGGAACTATTTCTCTTATGGATCAAGCAAATATTAATATTCTAAAGTGAATATATCACTATAATAATGATAAAAATTTAATTTCTAATCAAGATTTTTCATGTTTTTATTATATTTTATTAATTAGTATTTTATAATTTAAATTTATTTTTAATTGTCATGGTTGTATTATTCTTATTGATGTTAATAATTCTGTTGATAATGATGTGTTATACTTATTTCTTTATCAATAAATATCAATGTCAATGAGTCATTCATTTATTTCATATTTTAATAGTCACATTCAATACAAAGTGAATAATATTAACGATTAGTCATACTATAATTATTGTTATATAATTATATTACAAAATAAATGATATTGAAATAATTTAATTTCTATTTTCATATTGAGAAATTGAAATGTTAAAGAGTAAACAGAATTATATGAATATTGAAAATGATTAAGAGAATGTTAATGACGATTTGTTGATGAATTTGAATGATTCATTGAATTTTGATTTTCATAAATTGAAAAATCAGTGTTTATGAATTAATGAATGAAAGTTTCATAGTCAAAGTGAATTCTATGTTTTAAGAATCATAAAATACAATTTTCATGTTTTCAATGAATAATCTCATGAAACATTTCAACTTGTTAGATAAAAAGAGTTATTATATATTCATTTCATATTTGGTCAAATGTAAAAACAATCATTATTGATATTCTCTTTTATTTCTTTATGATTTTCATTCTCTCGAGTTCTATTTATTATTGAATCATTATCAGTAATATCATGTTAATTTATTTATATTCTTCTTTCTTTTACTCATCTTTCTTTCTATAATTATAGTTTATTATTCCATTGTCAATATCTGTCGACTAATTTATTATTTTCTCTCTTCATTTTTATTGAAAAATAATGAAGTTATTCGTCTTTATTTTTGATAATGAAGATACTCAACAACATGTACTTATTGATTTAAGTTCAACGTGTAGTTTTCTACAATAGATAATTAAACATGAATAGATTCAATGTACTTATTTGAATTATTATTGCGATAATTCATGAGAAAGAATCAGAGTAATAAATATAAATACATCAATAG